GATGAGTATGTTAATAGGGGCCCCCTGCTGGATGAGTGTGTTAATGGGCGCCCCCTGCTGGATGAGTGTGTTAATGGGCGCCCCCTGCTGGATAATCGTGTTGATAGGCGCCCCCTGCTGGATGAGCGTGTTGTTCATTGTCTCCTGGTGACAGGGCATTTTCATGCCTCCTCAGGCCGATTTCTGCTCAGGGCCCAATCCAGTCTATGCCAGAATTCGGGAGGTACTGGTTCCCATCAGGGAGGAGGAAGAGCACCTGCAGACCAGAGAGTGTGTTTCCAGCACCAGGAGGGTAAAGCTGGACATTTTCACAGCCATCTCGTTAGTGCCATGTGGTGTTTTAACCACTCATTTTAATTCACAGTGTGCGACAGACAGTGTTTGTACTTATATTATTTTGATTTCATTGAAGTCCAGATGTAACAGATCATTTATAGGAGGGCTAGTAGTTAATTTGGTTATATTGTGGGACAAATGTAACACAAAAATGTGAGTAATGAATCAACAACCTAATACATTTATCTAAAGCAACCTACAGTTACAACCTAGGTGTGTTCCGTGGGATTCGAACCCATGACCTTCATATTGTTAGCATGTTGAGATACTTGCTGAACTACATATTTCATGACTGACCTTGATTACCTGATATGTTTAAGTGTTTTTTAGGTCAGTTTTGAATTTAGAGAGGATCTGATTGTGGCCATGGTCCCTGTCAGACCTCAGCTCTGTTTCTGAAGGAGCAGAGCTTCACCATGAAGATGGTGCCCTGCTTCGCCTCAGCCTGCGTGACCCGCTTTGTCTCCCCAGGGTACAGCCTTTGAGTCGGTCTATGCTGGGGTTGTGACCAGGGCACTGCAGATGGAGGAGCGGAACGTCTACTGTGGCGTGTTCAGGGTCACCGTGCTGTCTGAGCAGTCAGGGTGGGGGTCAGAACCGCAGGGAGCGGGTGGTGTCGTCGGTCAGGTGGTTGAGGCGGGTCGGGCTGCTGTAAATCCCTACTCTGTGCTTGGGTTCAGGGACGACCCACTGCGGGTGGTGCATTTCTGTGGAGGGAACCTGGTGGCCACGGGTTCGAGGGACAAGGCGGTGCGGCTGTTGGACACGAAGACAGTGAAGCCAGTGAGGCTCCCCCTGCTGGGCCACACGGGGAGTGTCCGCGTTGTGCTGCTGAGTGAGGAGCAGGGACTCGTCCTCAGTGCAGGCTGCGACCTCACGATCAGGTCCGAGCAGCTCCTCTCTCCCACACACGCCAGTGCTCACGGTTCCGGAAAAGCCTTTCTAGCAGCGGTCCGGCTTACTGTGAATTACACAGAGTGAGGTTTTTATAGTTAGGTTTTTTGCAGTCGTTTACCTATCAGCTGACTGGCCAATTTTCTGAATCATTTTGGGGTTTTAAAAGGTATAACAGCAAAGCCCAATTTGTACCATTCATCTCTTCTCCTCCTCTGTATAGTGACCCTGTCACTGAGACACCGTACAGATCACTGAGCGTATCGCACAGCTTATAGCAGCTTTCCATTGTATCTACACAGACATGCCCTGCAGAGCCAACAGCGTGACAAACCAAGGTGGTTGCGTCACCACCATCTGATTGGTCGAAATGCACATTGATACCAGTGATCTGCATCGATATGCATGGATTATTTGGAGGAAAAAAATGGCATATTCTATATATTATTTATTAGTAGTAGTATTGCACATCGTGATGTATTAATGCATTCCCGATAATTCAGAACTTGAAAGTTTCCAACCTACTTAAAAATGTACTGTAGAACAGCTGAACAGAATGGATTTGTTATGCAAATTTATACAAGCCAGTGCTAATTCTGCTAGTGCTTGATACTTGCATAACATGGTGATTCTCACAGACATGCTAGCAGACAGTAAAATTAAATAATCATTGCACATAGTAAATCATGATGTACTGTGTGATGGCCTTTACCGAGCCGGTCCTTCTGCAGTGGAAAACCGAAGCGAGCTGGAACCGCACTGTAACTCTTCTCTCTTCGCGGCATGGCTCAGGTACCGGTTGGTTGGCGAGGCATGTGACATAACGTACAATCTTGCCTGAGTGGCTCATTCTGAAGATCCAGTGGGATCCAGTTGTCTAGCACATGTACTGTACAGATGGGGGCCTGGAATTCCCATCTCCCCCCCCCCCACCAAGGTGCTGGAGCCTGCAGACTGGGCTGTGCATGAAGGTGTACTTTGGTCACACTGGTGCCGTGAACTGCCTGGATCTGCAAGAAAACCTGCTGGTTTCCGGAGCCAAGGACTGCAAGGTGAAAGGTGAGGGTCACTCGGCGCCTGCTGACACTTTGAGCGTATTATTGATGTATGACAGTCACATGACGTCAGTGGGGGGGCGTCAGCAGTGTGACTGTGTTCTTCTTCTGGTGACAGTGTGGAACCTTCACACTGGAAAGTGCTACAAAAAGCTGAAGTTCCACCATGACAAGCCCATCCTGTGCGTGAAGATCCAAAAGAACCTGGTGCTGAGTGGCTGTGATCAGGGTCTGCTGAAGGTGGGGGACCTGGAGACGGCCACGCTCCTCCGGGTGAGTGCCTCCTCTCGCCTCCTCCCACGTTCTCCACTCAGCTGGCGGATTGACGGCACCCCCCCCCCCCCCCCAAATCTTTGTCTCTCTGTCCTTCGGTAGGCCATCGCCGCCCACGAGGGCCCCGTCAGCTGCCTCTTCTGCGATCCGTGGCACATCCTCTCTGGGGGTGGCGACGGACTGGTGAGGGCCTGGAGCACCAGCTGCGGGTTCGAGGGCAGCCTGATGACCTTCCGGCATCCTGCGTGAGTAGGGGTGGGGCCGTGACTCCCGCTTCCGCTTGGGTATGGGCTCTCTGCTCGCCGACTGGGATGCGACGGTGACTGTCGGCGCTGGCTGCTCCTCAGGGAGGTGCTGACCCTGGCATTCCTCTTCCTGCGCGTGATCACTGGCTGCGGCGACGGCAAGATCCGCATCTTCAGCTTCCTGTCGGGGCAGTGCCTGAGGGTAATCAGGGCTGGCAGCCAGCAGATCCCAGTGCGCTCCCTGCATGCGCACCCGAACAAGTGAGCCCCCACCCCCTGCTTTGCTCCATGCCTTGTCTTTTCCTCTTGCCCCTCCCCTTGGTATTACCATGTGGCTTGAGGTCTATCCTTTTCCCTCTGCAGGATCGTTGTGAACACCAGCGCCACCTTGGTGCTGCTGAGGTTCAGTGCGGTCCACTGGGACTACACTGCAGCAGAGAACCTGCCTGATGTTCCGCTGGCATCCTGGAGGCCCGCTGTAGAGGAGGATCCACGCACCTTGGGGAGCTCTTTCCGCCGCACCCTCCCCTGTGAGGGTAGGAATGCGGCCAGAAGGGCGGCGCCACCTGCTGCGAGAGCTCGGCAGGTGCCAGGTATGGTCCATGAGTCCCTGCGGCGTTTCAGCTACCAGGTGAGAGTCTTGGTCTTTGGTACTTAAAAAGTCTGAAAATCGTTTGATCGGCAGGAGACATATTTAGGGTCCAGACGGAGTCCCCCAGTGATGCCAGGAGAGAGCATTGGGCCTATTGCCTCACCAGGACCCGCCCCCACCTGCTGATCAGGAGGCTGTGGGGTGGATCGGGGTCAGGCAGGCCTGCGGGGGGCAGCCTCTCAAGGGACGCTGACACTGCTGGATCTGGTAAGTCAGTGGGGACGGTTCTTCTGTGAAGTGGGGAGTCTGTAGTGAGGATGTCTGTCTGCCTCCCCTCACCTCCCCAGCAAAGAAGTGGTACAGGCCAGTGAGGAGTGTCCCGTCTGGTGGTAAGAGGGCTGTCCTACAGACGGCAAAGATCTCCCAGCATGCTCAGCGGCCCGAGCCACAGCCCCGAAACATGGACATGTGGGACATGTGGGAATCCCCACCCAGTGCCGCCAGGAAGGACGCCGTGGCCAAATCCTCATCGCCACAGAAACTGTGCTTACCAGCGCCCCCTGCAGGGAGGGGGTGTGAGGTTGAGCTGCCCAACACTGGTATGAGCCAGACCGAAATCCTGCTGCTCACCTGGACCCAGATCCCCAAACACAGCGGTGCATCTACTCTGCTACCCCCCACCCCAAGGAAGGTGGGGGGGGGGCTTCCCCACCGGCACCACGCCGCACGCCATGTCCCTCCGTCCCCCCCCAACCGCCCCAGCACACATGGAGCAGGCAGCCCAGCCCCCACGTGGGGTTCCAGCTGCCTGACGGCACGGAGCCCCCACCCCAGCGTGGTCCCGCCCACCGGACCCCTTCCGGCCCCTTCCGCCTACCCACCACCACACAACTGGAGGAGGAGCAGTGGCTGTGGGTGCGAGCCCAGCGGGAGCAGGAGGTCCTCTGGACGAGGCGGGGCAATGCACAGTGGTGGTGAGCCTGACCAGTGAGGGCGAGGGGCCCCCCATCCATCCCGAGCATGCGGGAGGCGAACCGGGCCGCGTGGCCTGTGTCTGAGAGGGGAGGGCTGAGGAGCCGTGTATGTGTGTGTATGTGTCTGTGTGTGTGTCTGTGTGTGTGTCTGTGTGTGTCTGTGTGTGCATTTTTGTAACTATTATGCAGTGGGGACCAAATTTCTCCACAATATGACAAAAACCTGTAACTTTTTACCTTGGGGACATTTTTTATAACCTCATTTTTATAAAAATCCGTGACTGCAATCAAAAAACCAAAAATGCCAAAAGGCTTTTGTTTGGTTATTTGGTTACGGTCAGGGCTGGGTAGGAGTTAAGGTGTCATTGTTGGGATTTGGGTTTTTCCCTAGAAATGAATAGACGGTCCCCACAGATATGAATACAAACAGGTGTGTGTGCATCATGTAAATAAACCACCTTTATTTTCTCAACCCCTCATTCCTCCTTTTTCGTGATGCATTGGAATTTTTTCACATAACTTCAACCATCCAACTTCCAGCCTCTTTTCCCTGGATATTTGTCACGTCATATCTGATCATGGCCAGCAGGGGGCAGCAGCAGACAGGTTAAGGGTGACGGCCTGCATTCTGCTCTGTCTCCCCGGGGTAGGCCTTCAAGCTGGCCTATACTAGGCTCACGACCAGGACACTGCTGTTGGAGGAGAGGAATGCCTACTGTGCATCACTGTGCAGTCGGGGTATATGGCTGCATGACTGCATGACTGCATGTCTGCGTGGCTGCATGGCTGCCTGACTGCGTGGTAGGCCCTGTCCTCTATGTGCTGTATGCCCTCGGTGCCTCTCCAGGTCTCCGGCTGTCTAGCGGGTCTCTGGGAATCTGGATCACCGTGAGATCCGTGGGTCCTGATGGTGCCACACCCACACCGGGGTGCAGGCTGGGGGAGACTCAGGCAGCCTGTGAGAGCGCCCCCTGCTGTCACTGCCCAGATATCTCACTCACTCATCCTTTCTTCCTGAGTCATTGGCTGGGATTTAAAGACCACTGGGTCTCTGTGGTTAAATCCCTAAGTGAGGCTCTTCGTCTGACTGTCATCCGTGGAATATTCCAGAATAACAGTATGAAGGTGGGAGAGTGGCATCTGTGGGCTGTTCACTCTGTGACTTGGCTTCCTGTATGTCCCTTATCCCAGGACAGCCAGGATTTACAGCCTTTGCCGTCCCCCCCCCCGGCCCTTCTTTCAGAATCAGCACCACTAAGAGGCTCCATTACTCTGATTTGTCATCTGTCCCGCAGAGACGCTGAGTTCAAGGATTTCTTTTGCCGACGGCCACCAGAGATGGCAGGTTTCCTGTGCCCCCCCCCCAACCTGCTCTGAGCGTCCCTCCTCTGGGGGGTGTGTCTCAAAGCAGCGCTGCTGAGTGCGGTTTTGATGACCCAGCACGTTATGGTCGTCTGTCACCTGCCGGATTAGAAGGGTGACTCTGCCTGGGGGGGCTGGTCCCACATCAGTCTGCCAGTGTGCCTGTGTCTCTCTATCTGTGTGGTGGACAGGTGTTCAGCAGAGTCCCCGGCCCCCAGTGACCTGCGGGGGGGGGGGGGTCATCAGGGTGAAGCAGGGGGTGTCTCTCCGCTCCGCTGGTGAGGCCGCTGGCACCCAGCTGCCCCGGGGGCATCATTAAAGGAGGTGTGGTGGTGTTTGGGGGCTCACAGGGCCTTCAAATAGAACAGCTGTAAAGTGACTGGGGGGGAGGGGGCGGGAAAGGACACGCCTCCCAGCCAGAGAATGAGAATCCCTCTTCCAGAAAGGCAGCCAGCTGCTAATTTGGTTTAATCTGCAGAAAATTGGGGTGTACTGTGCCCCCTTTTCTCCGGGGGCGTTGAGTGCATCGGCGGGGGAGGGGGGGGGTCCAAAGCACTCAGCTGCCCATTGTTCCCCCAGGTACATGACCCCTCGGTTGGGGGTCACCATGGTATAACGAGCGTGAAATCAAAGAAAAGGTAGAAAAGGGAGACTTATATGGGGGGCGGGGTGCTGGTGGATGGTTCCCCAGTAAAAAAAAAGGTTTAGGAGCTGGGGGGGGGGGGGCTGTCAAGCACGGTGGTGTCCTCCAAATAGGGCTTTTTAAGTTGCCCTTTTTCTAGGAAGATGTGAACCCAGAGCATTGTGGGGCAGGGATTTGGGCTGAGTGGGGGTTGGGAGGCGGGGCTGGGGGGGGGGGGGGCTGGCTTTGACAGCTCTGACGGGGGCCCACTGGAGCCGGGACGCGGTCAGGCAGGATTTGCATGACACACAGATGCTCTGCTCAATGGCCCCCGGCACCAATACTAATATGATCCCTGTGATCACATGCGCTGAGTCAGCGCTCTTCAGGGAGCGAGAGGGACAGGCCCAGCCGCAGTGGCCAGTGCGTGTGACAGCCAGGTCACTGGTCCCGGGACGGAGCCCACTGCCTTCCCCCAGACTGCGCCTGCTGTTTGTCAGTCCACATCCCCAGCGCTCCCTTTGTTTTCTGCCATTTTTCCCCTTTTCCCTCTTTCATGATACCTTTTGTATAAACGCAGTAATAATGTATTGCCACACACTCTTGTCATGCACCTTGGGGTCTTCTGAAAGGTACTATATAAAAGGTGAATCTCTCTCTCTCTCCCATTCTCTTGCCCCCTCTTTCGTGGATCTATGGTCATAGACAGTGATGTTCTTTGGGAGGTGGCGCTGATGCAGGTGGACTCGCTGGCTAAGCCCCGCCCACAGGCCAAGGGCTCCCCAGAGAAGCTTGTGGTTCCAGCTCAGATCGGTTACACTGTGACCTCTTCGGAGATCCCTGCCTAGCGATGCAGGAGCGCTATCTAAGCGAATCAGCCCTGATCTGATTGGCAGCTGGGAAGCCAATCAGATTGTCCGGTGGGGTTTGGGCCGTTCACTGATTGGCCTCACTGACAGACATGTTACGCGTGATCTGAGAGCGCCTTGTTGTAGCCGCTATGTCCTTCTGAACAGGCTGACCCCCTCCTGCACTAGTCCCTGCCCTCTCCGCCGGTCCCTCCAGAACCGTAGTTCTCTATTGGACGTTACTGGATCCAAACTGCTAAACGCAGCCACCCTTAATTAAACAAAATTCCCACCGCCACCCCAGTTAGGTTTGTTCCCCTGCATTTGGATGTGTGTTCAGGAGGGTGTAGGTTCATTTTGAGTCTCCATCCATCCATCCATAAATAAATAACCAAACAAAATACAGGACTTTTATAAAACATTTTATAAAACTAAGTTCCCGTTTGTAGGGACCGAAAAAATTTATGTGTGTGTGTGTGTGTGTGTATGTGTGTGTGTGTGTGTGTGTGTGTATGTATGTGTGTGTGTGTGTGGTCCAGGTAAACATTACATTGTGAGGACCATTTTTATCATCGCCACACCATTTTTACCACAAGGGAAAATTCAATAATATGAAAATCTGTGACTGCAATCAAAGCACTAAAAATACCAAAAGTCTCGTATTTTGTTTGGTTACTTATGGTTAAGCTTAGGGCTGGGTAGGGGTTAAGGTCGTCATGTTGGGATTACAGTTTTTCTGAAATAAATGAACAGACGGTCCCGGAAGATATGAGTACAAACGTGTGTGTTTGTGTGCTGAGTGTGTGTGGGTCATACATTGAGTGCCACACAGTACTATCTGTGTCCAAACAAAAGTTCAGTTCCGTCAGCTGTTACTGTACATCTGCAAGTTCAAACTAACGATATATCTGTTGTGGATTGTAGCAGCTGACTGCTTTGACTTTGTGTTGAATGAGCGGTTGCTAGAGGAGTCCTGAGTCCCAAATGAGGCACATTACCTGCACAGTGAGGGAGCGTCAGTTACGGCACTACGGCCATGTGGTGCGTTTCTCTGAGGGAGATCCGGCTCACAGGATCCTCATTGCTGAGGACCCGAGTGGCTGGACCAGGCCGAGGGGACGCCCACATATCACCTGGCTGCGGCAGATGGATGCCCATTTCCGACTGGGGGAGACTGGGGCATGTGCAGGGTTGCCTTTGGTCAGCAGATTTTCAGTTCGAGACGAGTCTGCACATGTCACGTGGGCACTAGGTAGGGTTTGGGCATTACGGGCATGTGGGGTTTTGTTTGTACCCTCGTGACTTTGGTATGCCAGCCCGGATCGCTGGACTAACTAATTGCCTCGGCAATTGTGGCCCCTGAACTATGTATGGGGAATTGGGATTGGTTGGGAAAGTGAAGGAGGATCACACAAGAGAAGAGGAACCCCGGAAGGAGAAAGAAAAAAAGTACCAGCCGGGAGACCGTGGACAGCGGAGCCGGTACCGGAGAGCGGAGCCGGTACCGGAGAGCGGAACCGGTACCGGAGAGCGGAACCGATACCGGAGAGCGGAACACCCCGGAGGGAGACTGCGGACATCGAGGACAGCCTGTGAGAAGGACAGCACTGGGAGGGAAGAGACGCAGCGATCGCGCCTCGAGACGCTCTGTCGGAGAGGGAGTCGCCTTGACGCCGGAGCGGGGGAGAGCGACCGGGCACTGCCCCCGCGCTGAGCTCGGGTGGACGGAAACAGGCTAGTGGGGACCATCTACTGCACGGACATCGCCTGGCCCCACCGACTTGATGGTGGACCCTGAAGGGACTTTTATTGAATTTTTACTATATGTCTTCGCATGACATTTGCTAGCCTTGGCACTTTAAAGTGTGTATGTTTTTACTCCCTGTTTAATAAATTGGTGAAATAAGAGCCGTCAGGTGTTTGGGGGTGTGTGGAGCGACTCATACCAGCACAACCAGTCTGAACCAAACTGGAGGGTCCTGGTGCCCTATTGTTACATCGGGTGGCGTAATGGAGGCTTGTAGGGGTTATTGGGGGCAAAGTGGTCATCTGGGGTTCTAACTAGTGGGGCTTTGTGATTAGGGTACCTATTGGGTTATAACTGCCCCTTTTCCTTAAGTGTGGCATTTGGCCTACGTGACGTAGCCGTGACACACACGCATTTACATGTATGTAACAGTTTTACTAGCTTTTAAATATCTGTAGGGTTTGCAAACTACCCCAACACTTTTGATGTAGCTGATTTAGGTTCATAATGGAACAGTATAGATTTCCCGTAAGATTTCTTGCGTGAGCCTGAGAGAGACATGAGTGTCACGCTGGACGTGCGAGAGTCTGAAAGCGTGAGTGTCACGCTGGACGTGCGAGAGTCTGAAAGCGTGCGTGTCACGCTGGACCTGTGAGAGTTGGCTGCTCTGACCACGTGTCAGACTGGAGGGTGGTTGTCGGGATGTCGAGGTGTTTCGTCGTTTGCTGGATGCTGCATGCTCCCCAACCTCACCTGTAGATTGATTCACCATTTGAAAGACGCAATTTTTCATAAGTTCTATGTGCTTCCATAAGGGTAGCATGCACTCCCATATCCTTCCACTAGAGGGTGTCCGTACCTCACCGATCGCACGGAGCTCCGCTAGTTCTCCA